AGTTCATTGAACTATATAGAATATATAAAGGAGAATTAGGGTGCTCTTATACCATATATATACTGAATTGACCTCTGTCAGGGGCTAGGGAGCTTACCATTAGGCTTAGCGAGGCTCTCTTTTGTCATATACCCTCTAGGCGGGCGGCTTCAGCCGCTTGCCTATCTATAAGTGAGCTTTGGGTAAAGCTTTATAAGCTTAGGGGCTGTTTTTTGGTAGTCTTTTAGGGTTATTATATGGTTATATATGATTTAGGGGCCTGATATATATAAATATCCTTATTTTTTAAGCAATTCTATATAATTTTCTTCTTTAGATATCCTTATTCTATAAACTCTCCTTATAGCTATATGCTTATATATATGGTCTTGAAGAGCTTGTGAAGCTAATGTAAGCAGGAGATTATCATTCATAATGGCCTGTATCAAGTAGACTGCATCCGTACGCAAAGTATGTACTGCCGCCACTCACACTATAGGTAAGTTATGAGATCTTGGGAGGACGATGTTATAAGCTTGTTAGTAAGGCTAATCGAGCTTTATAGTCGCTGCCTACTATACTGTTACTTCTAATTTTGGAGCTGATGGCAATAAGGATGAAGATATTACTCCCGGTTCATATGCTTATACTATTGTTGGAGCTTTGTTAACGATCGTATAGCCTACCCTCGCTATACTTACCTTGCCTAGGGGGCTGAGTATAATGTCTCTTGCCTAGGTTATATCCGGTCTATACTCACTAGAAAGAGTGATGGCTGATGCTTTAATACTATTAGGTATGGGAAGTATTGCTTTAGCTATACTTTCGGCTATTTATATATATCTATCCTTGCTACCGCTTAGCAAACGGCTAGTCTTCTATATACTACTCTATAGTAAAACCCTCTAGCTTCTAGCATTATAAGTAAACTTAAAGACAAGCTTTAAGATATACTTATCTTATACTATTAATATGTTTGTTACTAATGGTGATCATATAAGAGAAGAATCGTCTATATATTGTCTTATGTATAGTGTTTGATAACATTCTTATGGTAAGGAATGAGTAAGAAAATAAGGCCGGCAAGCTTAGGGAAGAGGAGGATGATAAAGAGAAGGAGCCTAAGAATAGGCTGGATGTTACTATACTCTCTCTATGTATCCAAGCTGTATATATGATTATTTGTGGTATGATTGACGATATTTTTGCCTTACTCTACCAGTAAGTAGTATATTCTGTGCCCTAGCTTTGTTTGTTTGGCGTTTTTGTTTTTAATTAAATTATTATGATAAATAGAATCTATAGCTTTGCTACGCTTACTATATCCTTTATTAAGCTTTCTCTTTATGCTAAAATTGGGTTAATAAGTATAAGATCCATCTTCTGAATCTGTCGATCTTGACCTCCTTTGTTTGTTAGAAGCCTTTGTTTGCCTTTGATAGCGTTAGGTATATAAGGCGATTAGTGGAAGCTTTCGTAGACTACTCTTTTCTAAGTCTTTCGCTTATCTATTTATAGTTAAGCTTATTCTATTTCTACTTACTATCTCCTCTTCTCAACTTAATATACCTTCTCAAGCTTAATATATATGCTTTACTACTGACGGCGTTTGTGCCATACCTTGCTTAGGCTGTGTGAAGAGTGTCTTAGCTGGTAAATCTGACGATGTTTGTAAGGATACTGTTGGTTGTAGTGCTTGCTGTTGGCATTGTGTGAGCAGTCATCAGTATGTTGTGGTATCTGCCAATATGGTGCCTTTGGCTTATCAATTGACTATGACGATCTAAGGAAATAACCAGGTTATAAGCATCTTTATTCTCTTAGTCTTAATATAAGCATACTAACTGTTATTAGGGTATTTGTTGCCTTTATATGACGATCTGGATCATTTTGGCTGTACCTTCGGTCCTACCTTTGGTAGCTCTGGCTATCGCTCCGATGCTGGCTCTAGGGCTTGGCGCCAGCATAATTATAGCAATTGGCATAGGAGGAGATGGTAATAGGGTATCTACGACTATTCTCGCTTGTTGGGCTAGGGTTAAGGGGCTCTTGAGCGCTTTGGTGGATGAATTGGTGAATTAGATCGGCTTTTCGCTTAGTAGATATCGTTTTTCTCCTTTATCTACTTTCTTTTAGCTTTAGTACTCGCTATAGATTGAGAAGGGCCTTGAAGTGCTTGAATTGTTGACGAGTGAGGTTCTTAGTAAGTCTGTCTATAGGCATCTAGTCTGTAAGAATGTAGGTGATCTTGAACAAGCCTATTAAATGCTTTTGTTTAAGCTATATATTATGAATATCAATATAGTATAGCTTAGTAGCTAATCTTATACTCTCTTTGATTATTAAGTAGATCGTTTGCTAGTTATTATAGTAGATATTCTAAAGCTCCCTTAGGTTTAAGCTTATATCCTTAAAAAGACACTTGAAAGCTATCGTTTCCTTCACTATATAAGATAATGAGAGTAGCTTGGCCTTAGTTGTAGATATTATTATGATATTTTACTGAGTGGTTTACCATATAATTGGTCCTTTAAAGAGTGTTAGGATATAATTATCTAACGACTGTCTTGTTTCCAGATCGTTAGCAAAAGATATATCATTGACGATCAGTAGAGTCTATACTTTTCTATTCTATCCTCTATACTTGATGTCTAAAAGGTATATTATAAATAGGTAATAGATTATCTAGGCTGCTACTATAAAGTATGTTTTGTTTGGGTTGGTAAGAAAGTATGATAGTATGGATATAGCAAACGCTATATCTAGCCTTAGTATAATCGCTATATATAGTATAAAGCCAATTCGCTTTTGATAGGCCTTTATTTCTGCCTTAGAGGCAGTTCCTAGGTTCTTTTCAAGCTTTACGAACGGTAATAGAGTGCTTAGAATATGAGCGTTGTTTGCAAGCTCAAACCTTATGACAATCTTCTTAATATAAGCGTTATAAGCAAGAGTTATCGTTTTTGCCGCTTTATCTCATATTATTCGTATGCTAAGGAACTATTCTGCTACTTTATAGTCTTCTAATTTGTAGGCTACTTTAATCTCTTCGATTAAGGCTTCTATCTTTATTGAATGCTTTTTGTGATAGAGTATTAGGATATTGTCTATATAGAAAACAATCATGATTGTACGATCGTTATTGACGAAAAGGTATAGCTTTTCTATGCTTGGAATAAGCCTAAGTAGTAGAAGGGTGTTATAGAACTTCTTATACTATAGTAGGGGGGAATCTCTTAGTCTATAGAGTGCTTTTGTCATTTCTAGGTATATTCTACTCTCCTTTATCTTTTTCGGAAGCTTATAATAGATCTGATCTCTATTGTTTCTAAACGTTTGGAGAAAGATGCCTATAATATTGAATTGGCAGATTTTTAAGTTATATTCAGCTTCTAAGGCTATTGTTAGATAGAATGTTCTGGCTGTAAGCGTAGCAGTATATATACTGGTGAGTATATTCCTTTCTTAGAGATCTCCTTATACTATTAGACGAGCTTTATACTTGAGTAGATAGCCATTTTTATTGAATTTGTAGTCAAATATCTATTTTAGGGGGAGTAGACGTGTGGTTGCTTGTGAGCGCTCTATTTTGTAGAATATCTTCATTTTAATCATATTCTGTACTTCTTTATGAGCTGCTTCGGTGAATTGGCTTTTGTAAGGGTGATTCTGAAGCTCTCTCTAGTTTCTAGGTGCTTTTTGGAGACTGTCTTAGTATATAGTAGTGTTAGAATATACTCTTAAGGTTTTAAGGAGTAGTGGAAGGGTTTTTATATGCTCCTTTGTCTTATGGATTGTTGTTATGATCATAGTATATAGTGTTCTATAGGCCCTATCTCCTTTATGGAGTGCTTTCTGTTGATTAGGTAAGAAGGTGTTTATAAAGGCGTCCTAATTTTGGCTACTTGACATTACTATTTTGTCTACTCGATAGGCTATTATAGTGTAGATTCTGCTCTTTTCTTTACCTTCTATAGGATCATCTGGCGGCATTATCCTGATCCTTCGGCTTTGATATAGAGGTTGAGGCTAAGCGCCATTTCCTCTACCTCTTATATGTCCTTTTGGATAGCCTTTAGATATTATTGAGATGTTCTGATGCTTAGTAAAAGCTCTATCGTAAGCTTCTACCGCTTTGAGAGTATCTTCGAGTATTCTTAGGTTGTCGGTAGGTATGTTAAGGTATGTTCTTAACCGGTTATCAGGTATGTCGTCATGCTTGTTTTAGGCTTCTTTAGGTACGTTTTCTTCGCCTTGTATACTTATGATCTTGTCAACGCTACTTTCTAGAGCGACGATTATAATATCTCCAACTAGAGATATAGCTTGGAAGCTTATTGGTGGAGATCTAACGCTCTTATCTTAAGCTATTATAATTATATTCTTTATTTCCTCTCTTTCTGGCTTTAGAGTAGGCAAAGGGGTTAGGACTCTTTGTTTATCTCTTCTTATGCTTATATCTTTCGATTCGAGTATTCTGCTTGTATCATATAAGCTTGTTTCAAGTATAGAAGCTCCTACCCCCAAGTCCTAACCGTCTGGTTAGCCTTCCTTAGGTAAGGACTCTTTAGAGGGTGCTTCCTCACATTCCTTAAGTATAATGGAGGGATTATAATCATCTAATAAGGCTTCTTAAGTATCTCTATCCTATAAATCGAGCTTGTCTATTATTCTATCTAAGCGTATTTACTTAAAGGTATGCTTATCCTCTTCAATTTCCGCTATTTGGCTTATTACTTCCGCCTTAGTAAGCTTCTCTTCCTCGTTTATATGCTTAGAATAAGAGAGTCACTTATCAAAACGGATATTCCTGGTTATAATTACTTTATCAAGCTCTAGAACCTAAATCTAATATATGTTTGAGGCTATATAGCCAACTAGATAGCCAATATATGCTCGTAGCTTCGTTTTGAACTTGCATCTGCCAATCCCTTGCTCCCTTTTCTTGTT